TTTTTTTTTTTGGTAATAAGAGTGATTAAGGGAAACAGAAGAAATAAAGTTAGAAAAGAAACACGCTCGATACGAGTAAAATTCTCTCTCTCTGTTGACTCTCGATTCCTCGAGAAGTGAAATGCGAAAGAAAGATGCTAAGAAGAAAAACGATTCAGAGATAAAACAAAATGAAACGCAAAAGCATAAAAGAGAGAGAGAGAGAGAGAGACTTAGAATCGTCGCGAGGAGTATAAAAGCTAGAGACAGAGAAAGGTGTGTATAGTAAGAGAAACTGGCGGCCACCCCTTCTTCCTCTTCTCCTCCACGTACCCCCGTGGACGTGTAGCTCGGCCTTAACTCCTTATTACGCGTCTCGTTTGCCGGTTTATCGTTACGCGGAGATCAGTGGACTACGAGGAACCTGGGGCTTGCCCGCTACCAAGCCTGGCCTCTGACCCACTTGACGAGGGGCCTCGTGTCACGTCGTAAAACGAAACGGGCCCCGGTACGTAGCCAGAATCGGCCGCGGGACGAGTGGCATGGCCCGTTTTCGCTGTCTGCCGGTGCTTTATGCCCGACACGTAACGCGAGCGAGTTCCCCTTTATTTGAATTTATGATCACAAAACGCCGTAAACGTTCCCCTCCCTCGAACACACCCGCGCTCGTTTTTCCTCCTCCTTCAGACCCCCTCAATTTCCCTACGACTTTTCAACGACCAGAGTAGAAGAACCGGACTGGGCTAGGCTGGGCTTTTTATGGGAATTTTCTAGGGGAATATTGCGATGCTGCGGGAGGAGAGGAGTTTGTGAGGTTAGAAAGGAAGGCTGTTACGATAAGACGTGAGATCGAAGAGATAGGGATAGAGGGTTCCGTTGAACTGTGCTACCCTCGATGGAGGTGAACGTTCCTTGGGCTTGGAAGTAAGGATGATGCGGACATGACAGAGGTGTAGGGCTAGGTAAGGCTAGGGATAGATGTGATTTGATCGTGTTGCTTGTTATTTTTCCTCGCGAAGAGGAAAGCCTCCTCGTCGTGGGCTACTTTAGTTCTATAATCAGGGATGTTAATAAGGTATAGCCTTTAATACAATCGATCCTCCTTAATACATAAATCGCAAGAATATTTTCTTCTTTCTCTCCCTTATATATATCTTTCCAAGGAAAGTATCGGTTTTTCTTTTTTTCTTTTTTTTTTTTTCTTTTTCATTCACTTTGCATTATTGAGTTTCTGTATTTTATGTTTTGTAATTTTGCGAGCAAGTTACACAAGGGAGTTTAGAATATTATTATTATTTTTTTTTTCTTTCACCTAGATCCTATATCATTTTATAAAGTGTTAAGAAATTCATTCGATATGATAAGCTATTTTTTCACAAATCATAAATCTCTTTTTTTATCTCTCCGATTCTTGTGCAAAGTATCACATAGTTTTCTAATTTAAAAAAAATATATATATATAAATATATTAATGTATTAAATATATATAAGTTAAATACGATAAACGTTCCCTCGATAATATCTGTTTCGTTTGCGCAACTTTTACGCATTATTTCGTCGCGCGGTTTTAATGCGCGGTTAATAAGCGATGGAGCAAATGGTGTGTAATTATCACAGAGAAACCTGTTCCCTCGCTACATATTCACTCCACATTACCGTCCGCCGATTAGAAAGTACAAAACAAAATTTTAACATTTTCCAAATTGAAAACAACAAATTAAAAGCATTTTTTTTTTTTTTATCAAATATCTTACGAAAAAGAACGAGAAAAGAAAGGTCGCCCGTTAATTTTCCTTATTAAAAAAATAAGCGAGAAACTGCTGAAGTAATATGGAATAATAATTCTCGTTTTCGCTCTTCCCGTTTGCTGCGACGGAAAGTCCGGTTTCTCTTTGGTTTGTGGAGCCGCGGCAACCCCCTGCGAAAAGCTGCGACTTTATCGTGCTACACGGCGATCGCGACAGCCTCGACGACGTGTCAAGTACGCTTTTGACCTCGCGATCCTTGTAGCCGGTTCCATGGACACCGTGTTGACTAGACCAAGACGAGTTCGAGCGGTCATCCGTACGATTTCTGCGGGCAAAGACCTAAAAACGCGAATTCCCCGCTAACACTCGCCGATTCGAGCGTTAACGATACGTGATAATTTAAAAAGAAGATGAAATATGAAATGGATAGATTCCATGCGCGCCACGAAACGGGATGGAATTTATCGAGACGCTTGAAACAGATAGATTTGATCGAAACGAAGGATAATTACGATAAAATTATCGTTTTATTATTATTATTATCTCGACTTGCAGATCGATGATGCTTTACTAAAATACTCGTTGTATAAATAAAATTACAAATTTTAATTATCTTTCTTTCTTTCTTTCGAAAAAAAGAGAGATTCCAAGTTTCCTCGTAATTTTCTTTGTATCATTTGTATCATACAAATATGTGTATTTCGACCATTCGATCCATCAAATACTCGCTGTCTAAATAATTACAAATTTTGATTATCTTTCTTTCGAAAAGAAAGAGAGATTCGAAGTTTCCTCGTAATTTTAATTTTGTATCATTTGTATGGTAAAGTGTTTCGACGATTCCATCCATTCGATCCGTCAATCGTTTCCGTCCACGCGGGCCTGAAATCCCCCAAAAGAAAGAGGGAGGGGACGGAAGAGCGTAACAAAAGTCACGCATCGAGATCACGATCTAGGAAGGCGCGGGTTAGGCATGCCCGACATATCAAACTTTGCCGGTTTCCAGGAAAAGGGAAACGATTCCACGTATCCACCGCGCGGGAACGTTTAATCCTACGTTTTTGACGTTATAAACATAGTTCAGAAGCGTAGCATTGAGATCAACGATCCCGGGGAACTTTTATTACGAAAAAAGATTCGCATCAAAATCAAGATCCTCGAAAGCGGGCACGTGTCCGACATACCAAATCCCTCCTCGCGTTTCTCAAAACCAGGAACCAGAACCCCGTTCGAACGAAACATCCTTCAGAAATCAAAGCTTCAATTTTTAAAGAGACGAAAGAGAAGTAATCTCCTCCTCCAAGATGCATAAAACGAAACACGAAAGAAGAACACGATTACACGATTATCGAAAACAATTAACAATAATCCACTCTCCTAAAGACTGATCTCCTTCCGAAGACGGGCATTTGATACAAACTCGTTCCAATTTTACGAAAAAAAAAAAAAAAGGAAAATAGAAGCAAAATTAAAGCAACGATTCCACAAAAAAATGAGAATCCGAGGGAGAAGATCTCTCTCGGATCCACGAGGAAGGGAGGCTGGAGGCGCGACGAGAGAAGTGGCGGAAGCTCTCCGTCCACGCTGTTCGCATTTAAATTCGTAAAAAGCCGCGTACATATGCATACCGCATACGAAGAGTGGCGCGTGCACAGGTGACGTGCGTGGAAAAAGGTCTTTTTTCGCCCGGTTGGAAAAAGCGGAGGAGAAGGAGGGAAGGAAAGGAAAAAAAGAAAAGAGGAACCGGCCGCCTTCTGACAATAATAATAATCGAAACGAGTGACCCGACCCGCCACGCACCAGCGAGACCTGTCTTTCGAGTCTTTCGAGCGCCGACAGGTCTCGGGGACACGCACACGCTCTTCCGATTTCCGGTTCGAGGAATGCCGATTCCGGTTCCGAACCGGACCCCGCAACACTGATACCGCAAGCTCGTTTCGGACACGCGTAACATCTGAAAGAAGAAGAATCCATCGACCTGTCGTTGCTCGAGGATTTGTTAGAAAAACGATGTTGAGTCAATCGATTTTGGATTTCGTTGAAGAAGGAAGAAGTTTCTGTAGGAACTGTTGAATTCTTTTTTTTTGTTTTTTAATTTTGAGCGAGGATCTTTCGCGTCGAAGGAAAAAGTTTCTTTTGAATCTTAGCCGTCGATTAGTGGAACCTTTTGTAGAAACGTTGGATTTCTTTTCGATTTCGAGTGACGATCTTTTGAATTTTACTCGTCGATCTGGAAAAAGACTTTGTGCAATAGAATTGGATTATTTTTAATACTGGAAGAAGGTTTATTTCTTCTTAGACTAGCAGGTATTGGTAGAGGAAAGAAGATGAAGCGAAATATTGGGAGGTTCTTTTTTATAGAGAATAGCCTTTCAGCGGTGGTCTATCCAAATAGAAAGAAAGATGGATAGTTAGAGAGATTTGTAAATTGATTTAAACAGAGTTTGTAAAAGAAAATGCGGCGTTAATAAGGCTAATTGTTGAGAGTTTACGAGACACGTTCATTCCTTTCTTTTTTTTTTTTTGTTAGAATTTTACGACATATTCGAATGTATTCCTATAAAAAATTCGTAGAATCTTCTTCCTTTTCCAATACCGTCAAATGGGCAAACCTCTCCATCCTCTCGCACACACACACACACACACACATATATACACAAAAAGTACAAGTCGGTTGAGCAGACGGTGACCCTCCGACGACCCGGCGACCTCGAAGCAGCGCGTGGTACGTCTGTCGTCGATAACGCTGCACCGTAAGCGCATAATTGCCTCTTTTGCGCGTACTAACGCAAACGGTACGCAATTGCGTGGCGTCGCGGCAAAAACGGCGCGGTCGTGTAACGTTACGTGGAATAATTTGCTCGTCCGTGTACGGGGAAACAGTCGCGAAATTCATGAATTCGTGGAAAACCGGCTTGAGAATTACCGCACAGAAGGTGATTAAACTGTGCCGCTACTCGACTCGATCTCTTCCATACCTCTTCCACACCGCGAACTATACATAAATATTTTAAACCGTGGATAAATTGTGTTATTTTATTTTTATATATATATATATATATGCTTCATTCATAACTTACGTCTAATTTATCAACAGGTTGAAAAGTTCGTTCGAAAGGATTATTATAATCGCTATAAAGTGTATGGACAAATTATCGCTTTTGCTCGCTTGTTCAGAAGAATTACCGGAGAGTTGAAGCCTAATTTAGAGATGAGAGATTAAGTTTCTAAAAGAGGGGAGGGAAATTAGAGATGTCGATCGTCGCGCGAAGAATTTATATAACATGATAATATAATTTATTGGAATGGAAACGAGGAAATGGTAACAACACTATTTTGTTTACATACACGTATACGTATGAATATGCATCGAGTCGACGCACTCTAATCACTCAGAAAATAAATTATATATATATATCTCAAATTAATAAATCTAAACCGTCGCGATCTCTTTTTCTTCTTTTCATATGGAATTTCGTATTATATTTCTTTAACGGGATAAAAAAAATTTTAAAACTGGCTGCCGCATAAAAATTGTTATTTCTCCCCACACGCTATATAATAATAATAATAATATATAGTACTGCAAGAAATTTGAAAGAAGAGAATACAAGAGAAGGAGTAGAGAGAAAGCATCGATCCTGTATGATGTAAATCAAATATCACCTCCCAATACCGAATCCCCCACCCCTAATCTAATCGAAATATTCAAAAGGCCGACTCACGTTTTCGGTCCCCGGGGGCCAAATCTCCGCGATCTCCATGAATCTCTTCCTCCGATCCTACATCAAGGATTAGCATCGCATTACCGCATCACCGCGGCGTGGCATTAAAGAGTGCGCGAGGCGCGGAACGAATGCTCGTCTCGACGCATGGAGCGGCAACGACGATCCAGGGATCCATTTCACGTAAGCCGAATTCATGAGGCCTCCCTTGCCTCCGGTTACGAGAGAGAGATTTCCGCCGCGGGAAGGACACAACAGAACGCGCCTCCCCACCACCCGGTTCGTTTTTCCTCCTATCCGCACCTCTTCTTCGGGCACAAGTGTGCCGAGGGCGACGACGACGTCCTTTTCCACTTTCTCTCTCTCTCTCTCTCTCTCTCCAACCCTTTTCCTCCGCTCTCTTTCCCTCCCTCAGCTTGGCCTCGAGCCGAGGACCAGACGACGCGATGTCAAAGAGCGGTGCACGCACGCAGCGCGAGAAGGGGGAAAGGAAAGAGAGATAGAGAGGCGCGGGGTTGGAGATCAGGTATCAAGTGTAAAAAAAAAAAAAGGAGCCATTGTACGGGAGCATCTGACCGTGGGGTAGGTAGGTAGGTAGGTAGGTAGCACGGTAGTGTGGCGATGTTCACCGGGCGAGGAAAGAGTAGTGGTGGTAGGAAAGAGACACGCGGCGTGTCTTCGTCGCCATGGGGTGGGGAAGAGGAGAGGGAAGAAAGAAGGGCAGAGACCGGTGAATCCGGCGGAGTGGTTGCCGCGACAAGGACGAGGTTGGCAGAAGGGAAGGAAGGAAGGAAGGAAGGAAGAGAAGGCCTCTATATGCAGCGAGAGAGCGTTGGCAGTTTATAAGGGTCCCCCGTATTGTGGATACGTATTATCATGCTAAATATAACATGTTAACTACTTCGCATAATGCCGATCCTCTCGATTCTTTCCCCCCTCTACGACCGTTCGGCGAATCGCGTTTCCGCGCCGAAAAGAAAATTTTATTGCCGTCGTGATTGCCGGCAGATGGGATGATCTCTCCGGTTTCGCTGCTTCACGGTGCCAAACCCGACGACTTCTGTTCCCACACGCTTCTCGAAAAAACGAGAAAACGCTTCTCTCTGAGTCGTACGCGTAATAAGAATCGATTTAACGTTATTCGAAAATTTCGGTCTAAGTTTTCCTCTTACGTTCAAATTACTGCGTCGAAGACTAATCGTGTGTATTGTATGAAATACAGAAACGCTCGTCGTGTTGTCTCGCAGAGGGACGAAACACGACTGTTATTGTACGCAGGAATGAATTGTACGAACGGAATGGAAAGGAAAGGCGCGCGTCGATGTTTATCGATTTTATATTTAGTAATGATTGGAGGCCATTGATATTTTATCCCTGCTTCTTTCTTTTTTTTCTTTTTTTTTTTTTTTTTTTTCACCGAGAAAAGCGGAATTGTTGCGAAACGGCGACCGACCATAGCCATAACCGTTATTGATGAGACACATTACACGCCGTGACGGACCTTGAAAATCTATGAATTAATTATATATTACACCTTTGTGCGTAAGATGGAAGAACGTTGTTGCGTATCGTCATTGAGCAGCGGAGAGATGACAAATGTACCGTAGACATCGATCCCTCCTCCCCTCTCCGCCCGATCCCTATCTATTCGCCACGTTCAGTCGTAAAACAACCGTCCCGTACAATAAATCGCTCTGCTCGTTAGCTAATACCGTATTAACATTATTATAACTTCCCACGGGGAACATGGACAAGCGGTTTTTTTTTTTTTCAACCGGGAGAGTCGAGGAGAGAGGGAGGAGGGGAGTGGAAGAAACGATCGTGTCCGGCCTTCTTTGGAAAACCTGTCATTATCGTATCAGCGAAACGTTAAAATCTATCTTTTCGAAGGGAATTAAGGGGAAAAATTCACCTGTGATTGACTTATCGATCGTGCGACGATGCTCGCAGGAAAATTAATCCGCATCCACTCTTCTTTTCTTATTTTTCTTTTTTTTTTTTTGTCGAAACATTTTCCACGACGCATATTTTAAATCGAATCGTCTAACTTGGAATCGATCCTCCTCCGTAAAATACACGTTTCCCCAATATATCAAAAGATATATTTTATATTTCCTTCGTTAAAGAATCTAATCTATATAACCTAAACTTGAAATTGTTTCTCATAAGATTAATCTCATCCCGATGAAATAGATACGTATATCCTCCTGTCCTCTAACCAATAAATACCAAAAAAAAAAAAAGAAAGAAAGAAAGAAATGGAATTTTTAAATTCATATATCTCGACAAGCAACCAACGACTATCCCACAACGCGACTCCCTTCGAAAATTTCCCATTGCAAAGAGAGATGAAAAAATACGTATTTCGGATTCGACACGCGCACTTAGCATATATATATATATATATACGTATACGTTCGATCGGTTTTGTGAACGGAATATGACAAAAGAGAGGCCGAGTTAAAAGGTCGATTCTCCACGGACTGTTGAAGGGGTGTGATGGGCCAGAAGCTGCTGGTGCAGGAGGCGCCTGGCTCCGGTTCCGGCTCGGCGAATCGCATGGAAGGCGGCGAAGGCGCCGGTGGGGGGGAGCTGCACCACTTCCTCCATCAGTACAACCAACAGTCCCACAGTCCCGGGCAGAGCCTGCAGGGCGGCCTTCCGCTTCCGCTTAGCCCCCAGTCCCTCAGACACGACGGTTCCTCGAGCACCGGGATCGCCGGAGTGAAAAGGGAGCCGGAGGATTTGAGCTCGTCGAGAGGGGCGCAACAGTCCAGCAAAAGGCACAAGCAGGCGCAGCCGGACAGCCCCACACCGCCGGGGATGTACCATCATCATCAGCATCAGCTACAGGTATATCTTACAGATATTTTCACGTGTAATTTTCAATCTCCTCTTTCCCTCTTTCGCGCGGCGTTGCTTTAAAAATTAATCCAGTTGAGATTGGACACGTGTCTCGTCTCTTTTTTTCTTTTTTTCAGGATTCGTGGATTTTAAACATGACGTTCGATCCTTTCGAGTAGATTTTGGATAATGAATGATACGGTGGCGCGGATTGTATTAAAATTATATTAGAGAGAAGGAAGTTTTTCAGAGATTATTGGAAAAGTTTCGAAACGAGTGTCGGGTAAAATTTTCTTTTATTTTGAGAGATGACGTTCGATTTTTTTTTTTCTTCTCTATCATTAGCTCTGTAGCGAAGAACAGATTTCTTTTAATTTCAAAAAAATTAACATACGTGTCAACGTCGAATGAAGAAGTTATATTTGAAATTTACATTAATAATCCTGTTTCCTTCGTCGATCCGTATAGTGGAAATCCCCTCAAACGACATTACAAACATTATATTACAATATTAAAAGAATCGATATCAACGATTGGCGATCGAAACGAAAATATTAAATCCTTTTTATTTGGCAAGCGTTCGTTCTCGAATCTCTCCACTCTCTTATATTTAGCAAGGGAACGAGTCTAAATCCTGCAGAAACTTGACAGAAATTATCGACACAGGCGGTAAAATACTAGTGCTAGTAACTTTCAGGATTCCAGAGTCCGATCTCAAAAAGAAACGTGCTCGATAGTTACGTGTCCCGATAACACCCGTGACACTCCATTCGACTCCATCAAATCCGACTATGGCCCATTACGATTAAAATACTGGACGTGCATATCGAACAGGGGAAAAAAAGGAAAAGAACGATTGACATTATCCCGATCCTAGATATTAAACATAAGACAGTAGAAATAAGCGTCCTTAACTCCTTGCCTCTATTATGACAAACCAATACCTGACATTATCCAACTTAATCTTGATAAAAGTGCAGTTTATTAGACCTCGAGACAAATACTTCGCAGTCTACGCTATACTTCTGGAATAACAACTCTCCTGTTCCACGTTTCAAATCGATTATTCCGAAAATTAACGTTCGATATCACGCGCATAAAGCGTACACTCACTCTCAAAACCACCTTCCTATAATCCTCATTACAAATAAATTCTAAAACAATAAAACTCTAAAGAATAACTTCTCTTATCACCTGTACACGAAGAATACTTTCTCAAAGATGTTCCAAATCTTCGAAATTCCTCTCTCTCTCTCTCTCTCCTTTTACTCTCCCTCTCCTCCGTATCTTGCCCTCTAATCATTTCATTCAATTCGCAGGTTCAACAATACGGCAGCCCCTACGACCCGTACAGCTCGTGCAGCCCTCGTCTCCAGTCGACGACGTACACGTCGACCTCGGCGACGGGCGCCGCCAACACCGGGAATCCGAGCGGATTGCACCAGGAGGCGACCGCGGTGTACGTGACGGGGGACGCCCTACCGCCGTTGGCATCCTCGAGCTCGTCCTCGTTATCGACCACGACCGCTTCGTACACGAGGTACGAGGTTGTGCCAAGCTCTTACGCGACCACGCACGCGATACGCTCCTCGTCGAGCAGCAGCAAAGTCCTCACCGTCGATCTTCCCAGCCCCGATTCCGGGATCGGCGCGGACGCCGTCACGCCTAGGCAGGATCATCACCCGCCCACGGCGCTGCATCAGGTTAGTCCATCAATTTCATCAATCCATTTCTGCACTCACACGTATTTATATTTAAGAAGGTTATCGATCAAATTTCCCTTTACAACTCTAATTGTATCGTACATTTAATTTATCGATGTAAATGTAATGATAAAACGTAGGATGGAGACGGGCGCAGAGGGTTAATTATGTTTTCGATTTCTTCGATTTTCAAATTTTTTAATTCCGTTCGATTTGCGAGGAGAGGGTGATGAATATTTGATTTTCGAAGTTTGCATTCTATCGATCCTGCGAATAATTGTTGCGTATTTTGTTTTTGAGAAGGAGGGGGGAGTTTTTTATGGGGTAAATTTGATTAAATATTGATTAGATTATTGTTCGAACGAATTAACATTTTCTTTTGCACTTTAGAAAAATGTTTACAATTTGATATTTTGAAAATATTTCGAAGATCACGAGGTAAAATACTTTTGTTTTGGTACTTGAACTTCCACTTGGGTGAATTATTAAAATTAATCGCGTTTAAAGGAAGGAAATATTGGCGGCAATAATTCAATTTCACGATCACGAGAGATAAGCACGATTGCAAATGTAGAAACTCGATCTCTTTGTTTCACGAATGTTCTATACACGATTCGCAGCTACCAGGGATATCGATCTTAAACGTCTTAAATATCGCGATCTCGATCTCGAGAAATATTGCCATAATCTCCATTAAAATCTAATATGTCGATCGATTCGCTCGACATCGAAAGGGGAAGGCCTATCTTCGAACATTCGAATGCTAATTCCTACGATTATAAATAAGACTTAATCATCGGTGCAACGGTTATGCACGCTCGAATAATCGTATACTCCATTTTTTTCTTTTTTCTTTATAATAAATATCTACCAGTCGATCCTATCTCAAACATCCTATCTACGCAGATTCATCTACGATATATGGACTCGTGCACTTTCTCGAGTTGATCACTTTCTATCCACATTGATGTCCAATCATCGTAAAGATATTTCGATCGATTTACCGACGAATTTAATCGAGCGGCGACCATAGTCGATATCGCGGTTCCATCTCGCAGATGGAAACACTTTTTTCCCGTACGTGCGATCATTTTTTTACTCGATCTTTGGAACAGAATTTATACGGCTTGGTAACGATATTCCCGGACGATTTGCATAATAAACAACGCATATCTATCAGGAATCACACGAACGTGTGTATGTTTGTAATCGATGAGAATCGTGGTAATAAGTGGTATGTTTTTTTTTTTCTTTTTTTTATATATATATATCGTCCAACGAGTTTTCATCCGAGAGTCGAGAAATCGTTGTGGAAAAGTCGAGGATCGAGATAGAATTAGTTTAGAAGGTGTACGATTATGGTGATTTTATGTGAGAAATATCTAGAGATATCTAAATTTCAATACTTTGTCGGTGTTAATTCGTTGATCGATTTGCTTATATTTATTATCAATATAGCGTGATATATTTAATCAGATAAAACAAGCCTTAACATTATTTTCTTTATCTTCAAATTGATCTGATGTCAAGATCATAAATTGTTTCGAGTTTTATTGGATAGATATTGCAAAAATTTTACAAGATTTAGAGAAATAAATAACTCGCTTATGATAAATGTTTAACGTTAACAAGCACTTTAAAATTTGCAAAAAATGAAGCAAAAAATTTGATTCCGATTTTGATATTTATTTGTAATTTTGTAATTGCAAATACGTTACGTTCTTTTATCGTTTTAAACTTGCGTGATGAATAAGTTTAATACGTGACTCTTGAAATTTCTTCGAATGCTTTCAAACATTTTGATAATAGCGTGTAACCATATGATAGCGCTATCTATTTACATTATCTACAGCCTTTGTATAATCGACACAATTTTCGCATTCGCTTAAAAATAAAACTATCCAATATATACGCTTCTAGCATTTAAATATCAAGAAAAAGAAGATCACGATCCAAAAAATTTCCGGAGAAAAATGAATCGAATCGAGTCGTATCATAAAAGAAATCCCAAAAACTAATTGAATGATTTTAAAAAAGAGAAAATTACGATTCAAAAAATCTTCCTTGTCAAGTGCAAAACTCCTTTAACGCACAACGTTAACACGATGAATCGAATTACTTTGAGGACCGATTAAACGTTAAAAAGAGAGAATCACGACTCAAAAGAATTCTTGGAAAATGCTAAATCTTCCTTGTCAAGTGCAAACCAAAACCAAAGCGTAGAAAGATTTTTCCTTGAAGATATGAATCGACTTTACAATCGAATTTACAAACGTTCGAAGACCAACTAAATATAAAAAAGAAGAGAGTCACGATTGAAAAGAATTCTTGGAAAAATCTTTCGAACATGATCCATCGAGGAGGGAAGAAAAATTTCCCAGAGAAGGAAAGTCTCGTAACAGGGAAATGGATAAATTTCGATTTTGAATCGAGTTCCAATCAATCGAGGACCGATCGAAGAAGAGAATCACGATTCAATCAGGATTCTTGGAAAACTAAATCTAAATCTTGCTTGTCAAGTGCAAAACCAAAAAAACACTAACCTACCAAAGCACAGAAAAATTTTACCCTGAAGATACGAATCGACTTTATCGAATTTACAAAAAACGTTCGAAGACCAATTAAATATAAAAAAGAAGAGAGTCACGATTGAAAAGAATTCTTGGAAAAAACTTTCGAACATCGAGGAGGGAAGAAAAATTTCCCAGAGGAGGAGAGTCTCGCGGCGCGGAAACAATGAATCCACTTTAAATCAAGTTACAATTAATTAAAGGATCAGTCGAAGAAGAGAGTCACGATTCAAAAGGATTCTTGGAAAACGGTAAATCTTGGCCATCGAAACGAGGAAAAATTTTCCTCTGCCGGAGGAGGAGGGTTTCTTTCGGAAGATCGTTGCGCGGAAACAATGAATCGAGCCGCGTCGAATCGTCCGTATCGTGGGCAAATTGCGAAGGGGACCCCGAGGGGGCCAGCTCTCTCGCGCGCATAATTTTCGCGCCCGTCGAACCGAGCCGTGGCCATAAGCGATTCATCACTCCCACGTATTCTCGGTTGTCACGCGTAATCGGCCGCTTCCGGAAACATTAATCGTTGGACGGGGGCAACGGGCGGCTTATCCGCGCGAGTAAGTCATTAGCATTGCGGTTGACATTACGAATTAGAAAGCACACGCGTTCCGTTCTGCTCTGCTTGCACGCGATTCAAAATAAAAGGCGAGAATCGCGTTTCGCGTGGTATCGTTATCTGGCCGGCTCGTAATTAAAATATTCATATTTCGTCTACTACTACTGCGGAATAGTATTTCCGTTTTTTCAGCCGGCTCACCGATTGTAAAGAACCGTTTTGTTCGTTCGAAATCGGGGGGGGGAATCGTACGATTGTGGAGAAATTATCTCTTGCACGAGATTTGTGCACGGATGAAAATTTCTCGTATATATACGTTTATACAATGAAAATATAAAAATTCTTTCTTCTATTCTTTCTGTATTTGTTATTTCTTGTTGAACTCGAAGAATCGAAAGAATGCATGGAAATAACGTTATTCCGCTATCTTCGAAACTATTTGTGATTTATTTATAATAAAATCGAATTTTTATTATTTTTCTTTGTTCCTTGTTAAAACAGAGATTGCGTGTTATGAATAATTATTGAAACAGTCTCGAGTAAAACTTTCTCGATTATCTGATATT